ATGAAGTTGTTGTTTATGTTTTACATATTGTTTGTTCTTTTGATTAATGCTGCTGAGATTGTTGAAGTCGAACCTACCGTGATGATTGGGTCTCGTTTGGACAACTTGTATACTTGGAATTTTAAGTTTGGTCGTTATGTGCCTATTTTAAACAAAAATGGACAAATTACCAAGCGTTATCCTGGTGGTATCTATCTTCAAAAGTTTTACGGTACCAGTACCACACCTCATTATGTGAATATGCATAAGCCTAAAGGCGCAAACACCAAGCAATCTCATGTGACAAGAAACAAAAAAAAAAAGGCTATAACGAAAAAAAGATTAAGAATTCATAAAGCACATGGTGAAATTATTTCGTCATTTGATATATGAATACTATTTAATCAGATTGTAATAATAGGTGATTCCTTTTAGGAATCGCTGATATTTTTTGTTGTATTTTTTAACATGGCCAAAAAATCTTTAACATTTTTTTTGTTTAAATATAAGTATATGTATGTGTTATTGTTATGATAAATAAATTTTTAAATAAAATATAATATTAAAGAAAGATATAATTATTTTTTTTTAAAAAAAAAGTAATGTCATCTAATAAATCTTCTAAAAAAAAGAAGCAACAGTTAAAAAGCTCTGATATCGCTGCCCCTGGTGGTAATTATAGGTGTGGACATTCTGGTGTGGTTGCTTCTTCCAACACTGCTATATCAAAGTATGCAAATTATACAAATGCAAAAACTGTCGAGACTCTTGTGGCCAAACAAAAGGAGATAGTAGAAACTTTGACAACTCAGCAAAATAAATCAACATAAAAAATGAATAATGATAATATGAACCTTATTAAATCTATAAGTAATGATCAGAAAAAGACCATAAAAAATTTAACCAGTTCACAGAAGAAGACTATCAAGAATCTAAGTGATAATCATAAAAAAGTTATCAAGAATTTAAGTGATAACCAAACAAAGGTAGTGACAAGTTTGAGTGGAAATCATGCTGATGTTGTAAAAACTATGAATAATAATGAGGTAAAAAAATCAAAAGATAC